GCTCCTTTGCTTTATTACTTTCTCTCAATGCAAGTCAGTCTGGATGGCTTAGTTTTATACACTTTGCCCAGGTGGCCTGAGGTCTCGGCAATGGGGATTAAGGTCAGGGTCTCCATGCAACAAGATCGCTTAATTTTTACTTTTTTATTGCACCTTTTAGAAAAGACTGAATGTGTTGCTTAACCATGCTAGTGTGCTTGTTTGGCAGAGATGGTTTGAGTGTCCTCAGGCAACTTCCAAGCAGCTCAAAACTACGACCCAGCTCTGTCTTCCTTTTTTTTTTTTCTAAGATTTATTTATTCATGCATACAAGATCTGGGGTACAGACCAAAGGTATGGGAGGTGAGAGGATTCACCAGAGTCACGGGGGGGGGGGGGGGTCAGGGAAGCTCTGCCGCACCGTGTGGGTCAGCAACCTGGCCGGAAACAGAACCTGTGCTGCAGTGGCTGCGGACGGCTTCATAGTGCTGCGCGTTACCTGCTGTGCCACCAAGGAGGGCCCTCCTATTCCTTTCTAGGAGAATGTTTCTAGGGCTTGTGTGACACGAGGCCCTGGCACCCTCCCAATTCTGCCGTGTGGGCCACGCGCATCTCTATCTCCAATAGCTCTTCTCTCTCCGAATGGTGTTCTGGTTCTCTGCAGCTGCTGTCCATTCCTGACGACTCCCAGAAACCTTAGTTTCTGATTCTGAGCTGAGCTCCAGGCCCATCCCAGGGTCTCGCCCCTACTCAGACTCTCTAAGGTCCAGTTCCTCCCACCTGTGCATCTGCTTTGTCATCCTGGGTCACCACATGGGCATAGGTGAGGGTTGGAAGACCGGCAGTGCAGAGATGATCAATGGTTTAACATCACCTTGGAAACCATCTTGGTGTGTATGTGTGGGGGGGAGTTATGGGGGTATCTCCCAGCTTTTGAGGCAATTGCAAAATGCCCTCTCAACCTAGCTTCCAGTCCACCCAGGAGAAAGCCTGGCTGTGAGGACCTCAGTTTGGGGGAGTCTCCTCACTTTCAGCTGACGGCATGATCATCTGCAGTTTCCCTGGGGAATGTGAACAAGAAAGAGAGGAGCTGGAGTGGGATGGGGCAGATGGGGCTCTCGGGAGCAGGGAGTCCGGTGGGACATTTCTAGAGGATGCAGTCAACGTAGGGATAGGCACCAGAAGGTCCCATTGTGACGTGCCCGAGCCTCGGCCTCTGGTTGGTGGGGGCTTGTGAAAGGCAAAGCGAAAGGCCCACATACAAGCTAGACAAGGGGGTCTGGGTACAGGGAGAGGGGTGTCCAGCCCTGATCCCTCTGGTGACCCCTTCCTTCCAGAAGACTAGAATGTGAGAAGGTAATTTTTAGGAGGCAAGGGCATATACTTAATCTTTCTTGCAAAAAGATGTATAGGAGAATGGGTGATTGCTACCTGTTCAGAACACTCAAAAAGCAAATTTATCAACAGTTAAATTTTATTTTTTGAACCTGGCAATGGAAAATTTTCTAAATTCGTGAATCTGCTGGTGCAGAACCCATGGAGACAGAGGGATTCTAAGGGATTGATTGAAGCATTTTGGTCACCAAGGGGTGAACGTGAGGGTGTCAGTACTCTAAACCGCCCTTCCACCCCTCTCACCCCCACCAAACTCTGAAGTCACTCACTTGGAAGCCTTGGTGGTCATCATGAGGGTCAGCCAGTGTCCATGCCTTCATGGCCTAGGCAGTTTCCAATCCAAGCTGCACGTTAGAATCATCCAAGGGGACCCTCCTCGTAGGCACGGCAGGTTAAAGCACAGCACTATGAAGCTAAAGCCACTTCACATGAGTTCAATTCCCAGACAAGGAGGTGACCCACATGGCACAGCAGACCTCACCTGACCCACCTGCTGCTCCCCTCAGCAGTGTACTTCATCAATCGCCTGTTCTTCTCCACACTCTGTCTCTGGTGAATCCTCTCACCTGCCCCCCACCTCTGGCCTGTACCCCAGTTCTGTATGCATAAATAAATCTTTTAAAAAATCATCCAAGGAACTTTAAGAATGACATATGTAGGCCCCCAGAACACCCCCAATTTCATTGTTCAAAGGTGCATTTGGGGTAAAAATCACTGGGCTTCTGGAAAGAAAGCTGAGGTCAGTGACAGACCTGGGCCTCCACAGGGACAGTGCAGTCGGACTAGATACAGCAAGGCTGCAGCTAAGTGGACATCATAGGTGCATGGAACGCTCTACTCGTTCCATTAGTGCTTAGCGAGTACTTCCTGTGCTGTTTCTTATGGTCTCTGTAACAAATTTGGTGGCTTAAAACCACAGAAATGTATTCACGGGTCTGGAGGTCAGATGTCCAACATCCAATTCACTAGGCTAAAGATGAAGTATCATGAGGTGCACACTACTCTCCCTCTGGAGACGTTAGGGGAAGATCTGTTCTTTGTGCCGTCTGGTGACATTCCTTAATTGTGGCCATGGCACTATAATCTCCCTGTCCTCACATTACCTGGCTACGTGTGCTTGTGCTGTGGGGCTTGCCTGTGTTCTCACACTCAGGTTGTAGCTGCGATACCTCTCTCTGGCAATAAGATGCCCACCCAGCACAGGACTCGAAACCACAACCCTTGACGAGAGGGTTAGAAAGAGCCACAGCAGACTCCAGCTTCCTTGCCTACATCCTATCTTTTGTGGTCACTTCTGGGAAGTTACATCTGTGTGTTCTGCTGGCATCGGAAGTGGAGAGGCATTGTTGACATCTCTTAAAAATTGACACCTGGGGCTGTCCCTGGTGGTGCAATGGGTTAAAGCACCACAGTATGAAGTTCTTAGAAGCCACTTTAGCACGAGTTCGATCCCCGGCCAGGGAGCTGACCCACATGGCGTGGCAGACCTCTCCTGATCCTCCCATTGTCCTCAGTGTATTTAGTCAAACTGCCTGTTCTGCTCCCCGCTCTGTCTCTGGTGAATCCTCTCACCAACCACATATCTGGCCTGTACCCCAGTTGTGTAAGCATTAAACAAAAAAACCCGACCCTCTTAACAACCACTGACTCAGTGCTCAACCACCAACCGTGTGCTCAACTACTTTTCTATTAGTTAAAAACAAAGAGTGAGGCCCTCCCTGGTGGCGCAGCGGGTTAAAGCACAGAACTGAGAAGCTAAAGCCTCTTCAGCATGAGTTCGATCCCCGCCTGCCCCGGAGGTGACCACATGGCGCGGCAGACCTCTCCTGGCCCCCCCGCTGCTCCCCTCAGCAGTGTACTTTGTCAGTTGGCCTGTTCTGCTCCCCACTCTGTCTCTGGTGAAGCCTCTGACCACCCTTGCACCTCTGGCCTGTACCCCAGTTCTGTATGCACAAATAAATCCTTAGAAAAAAACAAAAAAGAAAAAACAAAGAGTGAGCCAGGTGCCCAGACAGGCCCACAGCACAACGGCACAGCCCCTCCAGCTTTCTCCAACTGGCCTCCTCCAGTCGCTAACCTGTGTGCAGTGGGCACGCTGAGACAAGTTTCAGGTCATTTGTCACCCAGGTATGGCCCGAAAGTCAGATGCAAAGTGTCCCAGGAGCCAACGTGGGATGATTATTGTAATCCCCTCTGAGGAAATGTCCCTAAGGCTTGCTGGTCTTAAGTCTCCTGGTTCTCTTCTCCATCAAGTGACACAATATAAAAAAGTCTTCTTGGCCCATCCTGGTGGTGCAGCGGGTTAAAGCGCAGCACAAGTGAGCCACAGCCACTTCAGTGTGAGTTCGATCCCCGACCCCAGAGGTGACCCACATGGCGTGGCAGACCTCTCCTGACCCGCCCACTGTCCCCTCAGCAGTGTACTTTGTCGATCTGCCTGTTCTGTTCCCCACTCCGTCTCTGGTGAATTTTCTCATTGCTCCTTTACCTCTGGCCTGTACCCCAGAGTTCTGTGTGCATAAATAAATTAAAAAAAAAACAAAAAAACTCTTCATGTCTCCAGGACCCCAGACCTCAGGACCACTCATAGGAACTCTTGAGGGGCTCAACAGAGAAGTGCTCTGGGTAGAAGTGTGCCTGTGCAGCTCAAGCACTGCATGTGGCCCCTGGGTTGGCTACCCCAGGTCATAACTTCTCCTAGATGTTACTCATCTGGAAAGAGGAGGGTGCCCACACTGCCCATCTGAGAGGCTCATGTGGGGGGTCGGCCGGAGATACCAATTAACCTTAAATGATGCAGGCTGGCACTGTGCAGGTTCTTACAGGAGGATGTTTTGCAACAGACCTGCTTCAGACTCTGCCTGTCCCACCCCACACACCCCTGACCCCACCACTCCCCAGACTGTGGTCCTGGACTCCTGCTAGGGTCCAGCGGGTGGCACTCGGCCCCCAGCAAGCAGCTACCCTATCCTGACAGTTGGATGTGAACCAAAACACCTCAGGAGAAAGTCTTTTTGTTTTTTTAAAATGTGTTTATTTTAAAACATGAAACCCAAGCTGAATAGAAACCACAGAAATTACATGGACAAGATTTTTAGTTTGCCAAGAAAAATAAAGCCCCCAAAGAAATAAAAATCAAACCCCAAACCCAGTCTAAAAAAAACTGAAAACACAGCGACAGCACATACAGCCATGGCCCCAAGGAGGTTGGAGGAAAAAACGACACCTAGCCCAGGTCTCAGCTCCCCACTGGCGACATTAACTCACACTTCGGGGGTGGGCGAAAGGGCCAGGAGGGGAGCTGGAGAAGTTCAGAGGCTTAACAAAAATCATATAGATTTATTATATATAACAAATATAAAGTGGTACGGCACACAACCATGGTTAAACAGAACAAAACCCCACACGCAAGGCCCTGGTTCCTGTCCACACCCCAGCGGGGCCTGGAGGCTGCCAACCACCCCCCCTCCTGGGCCTGGGCTGGGGGTGCTGGAGGGAGGGAGTGGTGCTTGGACTAGAATTGCATAGTGAGATGGGGTGGATGGATGTGGCAGGACACGTCAGGGGCTTCCAACCACACGCCCTCCCCCACCCAAACCGTGCCACACCAGGCCAGGAGGACCCCCGGGGGGAGTGGACCCCTGAGCCAGGGACCCCTGCTAGACACACCTCCCGCTCACACCGAGGCCCCTCTCTCCCAGCCCAAGGCCTCCAATCCCGACAAGATGCCACAGGACCTGAGGGGAGCAAGGCTCACTAGTGCAGGGGTGGGAGTGAATGTGGAGGTCACTGGGAGGAGGTGGTCAGGAAGGAGGCCCCAAAAACTCAGACCAAAAAGAAAACCAATAGCAGGACCTTCTTCCCCTCCATGGATGGAGGCTTGGGTTTGAACCCCTTTTCTTTTATTCAGCCTCTGTGAGTAGAACTTGGGTGAAGTCACAGACGGGGCGGGCACACAAGCACATGACGGTGGGACTCCCGAGGCGAAATAAGGCCACCCCTCCCGGGTGGTGCCGCCTCTCATGCTATGTACATTCACATTGCTGGCGGCCTTGCCGCAGCCACTGCGGGCAGCCCAGTTTGTGCTTCTGAGCAGTGGCAGCAGGCATGGCAGACACCCTGGCGCCTCCCTCCTGACCCAGCGTCTGGGCAGAACCCAGAGGCAAGACCAGGCAGGTTGGCGTGGCTGCCGGGGGCCCGGGCCAGAGTACCCTCAGGTGAGGTCTGGTCATGCCCGGGGGCTCAGATTCAAGGCTGGGGCCCCAGGCCACCTGGGACACCCCTGAGTTTGCCCCCCCCCACTCCCTCCAGGGTAGAGGCTGCCCCCCAGGTTGGGGAAGATATGGCCTGGCGCTCGCCTTCCCCTCATCTTATTGGTCCCAGACACCAGCATGAAGAAAGGAAGATGGCCTCTTCCCGGGCTGCCCAGGGAAGGGCACTGCCCACTGCTCTGGAAGAGCCCACAGGTCTGTAAACTGCAGGGCCACTGCCCACGTGTGTTGGGACCCCAGCTGGCTGCTACTCCTGGCCTGGCTTCTTCACCTCAAGCTGGCCAGGCCAGGGCTGGGGCTGAAGAACCTTCCCGTCCTGGTGTGGGGGCGGCTCCAACCTCACGGCAGTAAACTCAGCAAACATTGTACACTAAAGCCAAAAGCACCTTAGGGAAGCCTCGTTCCCACTTCACAGGGAGGGACGGAGGTTGTAGGGACCTCCGCCAGCCCCAGGGACCTTCGTTCCTGAGGACAGGGCCCTCCTGGGGCAGCACCGGCCCACGGAGAGGCCTCTAGGACCCTCAGGCTGCCTGATGGTCACAGCCCCACCCCAGCAGCACCCCGAGAAGAAATGGCTACTTCAGTCCGACTCCCAGCCGGCTGTCCCAGGCCTCATCTCGGGGTCACATTCGCTGATAGGGTGTCAGCGGAGGCTGGGGCGAGGTTAGTGGTTAGTCCCAAGAGGGGCAGCAGGGGCCGAAGGCTCAGTCACAGCCAGCTCAGTCCCGTCCCACAGCTGGGTCCTAGGACACGGCACCTGTCCTGGTGGAAATGGAACTGAGAAGGGAGAGCTGCTCGGCCCTCAGGCCCGCCTGCCCTAGAGATGACAAATGTGGTCAGTGCAAAAAAAAAAAAACAAACACAAACCAGAGGAAGCTGCCAGGTCTCTGGAGGTGGGGGAAGGGATTTGGCACCAAGAAGGGGGCTGGCACTGGGCAAGTGACCTGGGCTTGGCCAGGTCCTACCATTTTGGGGGCCCGGTGCCATGGGCTGGGTGAGCACTGGGGGAGAGAGTAATGCTGGGGGCGAGGGGCAGGAAATGTGGACATTCCCCTAAGAAGCTTCTGGCAATTGTAGGGGGTGGGGCTAGGGTCAGGTGCGGGAAGAGGAGCTGCAGAGGCTCATGGAGGAGCCACGGGAGGGCGAACAATGACACACTGCTGTCCCTTCAGAAGCCGGTGCCTGCGAGCTAAGAAGTGACGCGAGGAAGCATCGAAGGTAAGGGACAAGCAGCAGCTGCAGGAGGGAAGCACAGGTGGGGGAGAGCTGTGGAGACTGCAGGGGTCCAGAAGGTGAGCGTGCTGCAGAGGAAGCATCAGGGACACAGCACGGTGGGGCCTGGCCCAGAGGAGGGCGGGGGCCGCTGTCCAGGTGTGCACCCCAAGGAAGAGTACGGGCCAGAGACCTGTGTCTCCACCAGCCTGGGACTCATGCTGGGTGTCTCCACGCCCCTGCAGGAAGAGAGGGGGGCTGCAGAGGGGCCCACAGTGGGCCTGGCGTAGGTGTGGAGGGTCCGGCGGATGGCCATGGAGCAAGCGGCAGTGCTGGCACAGGGAGGAGTGGGGCGATTGGCACATGGGCAGGTAGCCGGCCGGCAGTCTAGTGGCCACTGCTGCTGGAGTCGGGGCGAGGCTGGCTCGTGGCGAGGTATTTGGCTCTCATGCTGGAGGTGTACTGGAGGAAGACAAGGGGAGGCAGCTGGTCAGCAAGGCACTGAGCACAGCAGGGCCTCAGAGGGGTGAGCCGGAGCACCCCAGGCAGGACAGTATGGTGGCACAGCTGACAAAGCTGGACTCCTGAGCAAGAGCTGGCCCCAGGGCACCAGAGCAGAGGCGTGCTCCCCAGGCCCCAGACTCAGGACAGGGAACAATCTCCTCCCCCAGAGGGCTGAGTACCTCAGCCTCATTCCCACTGCTGGCATGTGGGGGCCAGGCCAGACCAGGCAGGTTTTTGCCTCCCCAAAAGCCAGAGCGTGCAGGTTCCCCAACTGCACCCCACACACCCAGGACCCTGAAAGGCCACACTCCAGCTGCCTACCAGAACTAGGCTAAGGCCACAGCGAGACCTCCTCCCCCTGCAAGAAGCCAGCCGAGGCTAGTGCAAAGGTGGGTCAGGCTGTGTCCCGGGCAGTTTCAAAGTCCCTGAGGACTGACAGGCAGGGTCATCACCCAAGTGCACGGAGTCATGAGGTCTCTCACAGCTGTTCCGCCCAGGTTAAGGAGGACCCCAAACTACACAGACCCCTCAGGTTGGGTAACATTGATGCCCACCCAGGTGGGAACCCCCAAGTCATGGATGCGGGGGCAAGAGCCAGCTGGGGGCAAGGACGGCCTGCACATCTCGACCACCTCGTATCCATCCAATCTGAAGCACGGAGGCTCTGCGTGGTGCACCGGGAGTGTGCAAAGGGCCCCATGCCCACCGGGACAAAGGCAGGTACCGTGACTGCCAGCGGTAAGGGACCTGGCTGGTTGACCCCAGAGCCACACGCTGACCCCACCCATCTCCGGCAACTCATGTCCCCATACCAGTTTCCAGACCAGAAGGGACAATGTCCCTGGTCCCTGAGAGCCCCCTCCGAATACCTGGTAGGGAGAAGGCTGCAGCGACCATTGGGGGTGTGCTGGGAAGAGCAGCGGGCACTGGGGAGCCGTGCCATTCACAGGCATGCAGCAGGGGTTGGGGGGACGAGGGACTTGGGGAGCAGCTTGTGCATTCGAATGCACACCCCTGTATGTGCTCTCAGACATGCAGGGTGGCACCACCAGGGCCAAGCCTGCTCTACCCCGGGGTCTAAGCTCGCCTGTGCTCACCCCCCACCGCCAAGCCCAGGCACTGCGGTAGACATACATGGGTAACTGAGTGGGTGGTGCCAAGACAGTCTAGGGCCACCTGCAGCTGGGCTGGGAGGGGAGAGGGCCCTGTGCAGGGGCCTCACCGGCCCAGATGTGAGGGCAACAGGTCTGGGACCAGTACTCGAGGTTTCTGAGGCTAGGCTGGGGCCACGAAGTCCACCGGCCTATGCTGGCCGGGAGCTGACCCGGTGGGTGGTGTGCTGAGCTGGTGCTGAAGCACAGCAGATGGGCCCAAGGTCAGCACTGGTGAAGGGTAGCAGTGAGCGAGGGCATGAGGCATGGAGATGCAGGCGGGCAGGCAGGGGACCGAGGTAGGTCAGTACCTGTCACTCTGAGGGCACGGCCACCACAGCGTTCGGGCACTGTCCATGGGCTTAAACTGCCAGCCCGCATGGCTGCCAGAGTCCAGGGCAGCCAGATAGCGCTAGGAGGGCCCAGGGTGGGAGGGATTTGAGGGAGAGAGAGAGAGAGAGTGTGGCCTCAACGCCAGCACGGGGCCCAATCCGGGGCAGGCCATGGGGGGTGGAGCAGAGTGTCAATGAGGGCAGCCTGAGCATGATGGACAGTGTGGGAGCCCTCTCAGCCCCTGGTCCAGGTCACCCCGGTCAGCTCTGCCCTGCAGAGCACAATGGGGCTACCATGCAGGCAGGTGTTTCTGAGGCAAGGTGACCTTCAGCCTCTGGCCCTGTCCTTTGTGGCCCACACTTCCAAGGAAAGCTGTCAGGACCCCCAGTCTCTGTGCAAGGTCCTTGTCTGTGGTACCAAGCCACCCTGTCCTCTCTCTTCTGTGTTGCACCCCTGAGTCTCACCCTCACACTAGGCCAGGGCAAGGACAGCCTCAGGCTGAGATTCAGGTTGTGCTCAGGAAGAGAAAGGTAGCAAGACTGGGAAGGAAGAGGTCAGGACTCGTGCCAAGAGCCTCTTGGACCTGAGCTGACCTGCCAGGCAGCTGGCCCCTGGCTTCCCACTCTGGCCCCGGGACGCCTCAAGGTCAGCTGAGAGGAGCCTGTGAGTCCACCAGCGCTGACTCGTGCTGGACACCCGCAGAGGCCCCTAGCACTGGGGGGTTTACAGCTGCCCGCAGCGCCCTCGAGAGTCACATCAACCACCAAGGCACAGAACAGCGCCCCGACCCAGGGCCCAGGCCCCCACCCAGCCTCCTGTTCCAAAACTTACTGAAGGCGGCGGGGACTCACGCCCGATGAGGGGGGTGTTCTCACAGCGGGGATTCTGGAAGTTGGCATTCTGGCTCCTGTGGCATGAAGAGAAAAGGGGCTGAGTGGCGGCTGCCCACTGTGGCCTCAGCTCTCAGCTCCCACTCTGGAGCTGGCAGACCCAATGTGCACCCTAATCATTCTGGACACTACCCACTAGCAAGGACTTAGGGGGTTCCCCTGAACTTGGCCCGACAGCAAGGGGCCTGGGGTGGCTGCCTACCTCAGTATAGACAGAGCCCTTCTGCCTGGATGCCCACTCACCACAGACCAGACCCTCTACCTGACCGAGTGGCCTGCCCCAAGTGTGCCTGGGAACAGGAGTCATCAGTGCTAGGCTGGCCCCACCCAAAGCCCGGGCAGCCCCTCAGCTGTCCCTCGGCCCCTCCTCCCGGCTGGCGCCTGGGACTCCAGCTTGCCGACGCTGCTGCTGCTCCAGCACTGTGCTGCTCGGGCCCTCGCCTTTCTCGCTCACTAGTCCCAGGACTGGGCCCCAGCTCAGGGCCTGCAGGCCCCACCCAATTCCCCCAGTGAGCTCCCCTGTGCAGTCCCTGCCCCAGGGCCTTGGCTCTGCCTGTCGTGCCCGAGGCCCACCTCCAGGACTCACATGTACTCAGTGACCGGGGCGTTGCTGACAGTGTGGGCGGCGGCTGGGATGCTGTTCTCGCTGCCATAACTGCTGCCACAGCTGTACAAGCTGGGCATGTGGACACGGTAGAGGCTGTCGTGTGCCTGCCGAGGCCCTGGGGCAGCTTCCTCCTCCCCATCTTCATCCGGGCCTCTGCAGGAAAGGATACCCAGCATAGGCTCAGGGCCTGACTGGAGGCAGCAGGCCACAAGACCCACGAGGGCGGGGTGCGTCTCTGGTGTGGAAACACCTGGTCCCAATCCTGGCTCAGCCCCTTCCTCACCCAGGGACTGTGGGCTTCCTCTGTAAGACAGGGGTACTGACCCCGTGCCAGGCCTTACACACGGGCACACTGCTTAAAGAGGGGTTGGAGTTCCTCCCAGGGGACTTTGGAAGTGCCTGGAGGTAGAGTACCTGCCTTTGGCTCTACTGGTCCAGCCTAGCCCCAGAGGCCTGAGCCCCCAGTAGATCTGAAGCCCGAGACCCACCTGCTTTGAGAGGCCTGAGTCCCCAGGCTGGTTCCTCCAAAAAGCCCAAGTCCCAGGCCACTTTGCATCCTTGGGTGCCCTCAGCCTAGTCCTCCCAGCTCTACTCCCCTCTGGTTTTCTGCTTCTTACTCCATTCAGGAGCTGCAGGACGAGGTGAGAGCTGGGCTAGGACTCTCTGCACTCCCACGCCTTAGCATGCCTGGTCTCAGATGGGACTCCAGGTGGGACTCCTGGTGGTCACAACACAGGTGCATCAGACCTAGGTCGCTTCCACTCCTCAACACCAGCCGGTGACCTTGAGCAGAGAGCTCCTTCACCACGGCCCTGTAGTGAGGTCAGCTGAGTGCTGGTTGCCAGCCAAGCCCAGGGCTGAGCCCTTCTACGCAGTGGTACACACCGGTCCTGGGGGGTGTATTCTCTTACAACCCCATTTCAATTAGGAAAACTGAGGACCAGATGGCAGCCATAAAATATGCAAAGGGAGAGTCAGGACCTGAATCCAGGTTATGCGGTCCCAGGGCCGGGCTCTTAGCCACTCTGTAGCTGCCATCGCTGTTGCCACTGCCAACCCTTACCAACCCTTACCAATATTATCACTGTCACTGCTGTCATCACCATCGTCACCACCAGCGCCATCACTGTCATCATTACAATAGAAAACAAGTGTAGAAACTCAAACCGAGAAAGGAGTTCTAAGCTGAGCTCCTTGCCATGCAGGCTGGGCCACCAACAAGCACCCATACCCCACATTAGAAGGGAGGTGGTAGGTCTTGGAGATGCACTGTGAGGACCCAAGCAAGAGAAGGGGCCCAGTACTTCCAACACACTCAACCTAGTACTGACTGGGGAGACTGAGGCAAGGGTGCCATATTGGTCACCCAACTGAGTGGGACATGGAGGCCTGGGCTACCTGGAGCCTGCCCTGCACAAGTTTCAAGTCCTGACAGCAAATCAGAGTGTCTCTCCACCCTCAGCCCTGCAAACGTGTGCCTAGCAGTGGGGAGATGGATGAGATATTTTGAGGCTAGTCAGTCAGAGGTGAGGAAGGCTAGTCAGTCAGAGGCGAACAGAGTCAGAATGAGGATACAGGAAACCCCTGGGTATCCTGTCTGCTCCAGACTCGAGTCAGCTGGGTTGGGTGTGCTCCCAGGCTGAGTTTTCCACCTGTGAGATGGGCTACTCCCTTCAGACCCACCAGCCTCAGTGGCACTGAAGAGACTTAGAGGCGAGAAGGTGTTTGTTCATGTCTCTGGAGACTAGGGCACGGGATGTTCACGAGGCAAACCAAAGGTGTCCCTAAAGCATCCTGTGTGCCTGGGACAGGCACCAGGACCTTTCTGAGCCCCTCACCTCTTCTGCTGCCAGGTGTGTGGGACGCTGCAGACGATGGAGCTGAACATGAGTGCTGTGACAAAGGAGAAGAGGGCCAGGTAGATGAGGCCCTCGACACCATCATAGCAGAAGCCTGTCAGGGCCTGCACGTAATCCTGAAGCCGGGTGGCAGATGGAAAGCGGAGAGACAGGAAGGCAGGGCGTGAGGAGCTTGCTGCAGCCTCAGCGCTGCCCTCAGCAGGGCCTGCCCGCCCCCGCCTGTGGATGGGTTCCCAGCAGCCACCCTGCCCCCGGCATTGCCCTCTGCCCCCACCCTGCTGTAGGCCCAGCTCTTGGGGGCAGCTCTCACCAGATGCAGGCTGCGGCAGTCCACCAGGGCAGTGAGGTGCTGTAGGTTCACCTCTGTGCCGTTCAGCACCTCCTGAACATGGAGGAGGGGGTCCTGGGGGACAGCACACAAGGTCAGAACAACGCTCAGGAGGGAGACTCCTGAGCCTGACACAGCTCCCACCCGGGGAAGCCCGCATCTCAGTCTGCCCCACACCCTGCCAGCAAAACAACCCTAGGCCCCTGCAGTCCCCACACAGGCCCTGAGGATCGTGGCCTCTTAGCGATGGTGACACCAGACCTGGTCCCTTAACGGTAACGGGGGACAGCAAACACGCGTCTTCTGACACAGGGTTGGTTCTTGTAAAAATCACATATTTAAGGAGCAGTTAAAAACAAGGAAAAACCTTCATTATTTTAGGTGACGAAACAATATCCAAAACACTTGGTGCTATCCCATAGTGTGTCTGCTGCACGGCGCGTGGGGTGTGGGAGCGTGCAGACACCTCCGTCTGCACCGACCCCACCCACCGAAAGGTGATCTCACAGAAGCACCTGGGGGCTGACAGTGGCAGCCATCAGCCCCAACACGGCACTGTCCAGGGACCCTCTGTGACCCTGAAATGGGCTTCAGGGCACCACGACTTAGGAGCTAGGGGCTGAACCGTGTGCTCCCACATGCATCTTAAGAGTATTTACCCTCCGATACCTCAGAATGTGACTGTCTGAAAAAAGGGCTTTTAAAGAAGTGATGATGGACAGTGAGGTCCTATGGATGGACCCCAACTTAACAGGCTGGTGTCTCTGCGCACAGCGGAAGATGTGTGAAGACACAGTGGGAAGGCAGCCAGCTGCACACCTGGACGCCCCAGGAGAAAGCAGCCTGCCAGCCCCTCCCTGCCGCCTCGACTTTAGCCTCCAGACTGCCAGAGCCCCCTGGTCTAGCCGCCTGGTGAGTGGTGCTTTGCAGTGGCCAGAGCAAACTAATACGACTACCCACCCACTGAACCCCAAAACATCAACAGGATGCCCTGACTTCACAGAAATGTGAAGGAAGGACTTTAAAATAATTCACAGCGTGCTGCCTATTTAAAAGTTGCGAAGACTTTGTTGGAGAAGGGTCTGCCACTTTCAGAGTAAGGGTTCGGATTCTAGTTATTCCCACAGGGTACCCCTCCCCGCTGACCACACCAGCCCCAGGCAGGCTGGATTCTATCAGGGGGGCAGGACGTCATGATTGATAAGGGTCCAGGCCCCAGAAGACCACAGAGACAGGCTGTAGTCCTGTGTCACTTACTGACCAGGACATATTCCCAAAACAGGACAAGGTGATCGTGTCATCAGGCGATCACACCATCATGGGAGCAGTGAGTACTGACACAAACCTCACAAGCACATCCATGGGATGTGTCACTGACGGGACCCCTCAAACATGCCTTAAGAATCTGATCTGCTCAGAGGCTGGTGAGAAGTCTTATATTATTCCTGGGCCAGTTCCGATTCCCCCCCATTTTTTTTTTAAACACAAAATGCCTACATTTCAAAATAAAGGAGAAAATTATGTTTAAAAATTTATTGAGGGCCCTCCCTGGTGGCGCAGCGGGTTAAAGCACCGCACTGAGAAACTTAAGCCACTTCCGCATGAGTTCGATCCCCGCCTGCCTGGAGGTGACCACATGGCGCGGCAGACCTCTCCTGACCCGCCCGCTGCTCCCCTCAGCAGTGTACTTCGTCGATCTCCCTGTTCTGCTCCCCGCTCTGTCCCTGGTGAATCCTCTCACCCTCCGCATCTCCGGCCTGTACCCCACTTCTGTATGAATAAATAAATAAATCTTTAAAAAATTTATTGAAAGCCTCCAGGGAAAATACAGGGGAAGACGAGAGGATTTAAAAAGAAGCCTCTGCATAAAGGGTAGGAGAAAGGAAGCAGGAAAGGGGGTGTCCGCACTGCATGGGGCTGCTCTCCTCAGACCCCTCTCCCCACAGTCCCTTACCTTGGTGGCTGGGTATTCCTTCGGGACAGTCTTCAGGAGCTCGGCCACCACGTCCTGCATCTCCACCAGCGCCTTGTGGCTGCCCGACAGTTTCTGCTCCATAGAAAGGACACTGATTGCAGCGGGGGTAGCTACCTCCACTTCCTGAGTCCCCAGTCACAACAAGGCAGGCAGGTTCCAGTGCCCCCGGCTTCTGCCAGTCCAAGGGGTGTCCAGCCTGAGGCTTCAAAGGCTGTCGCGGTGCGCTGTGCCGGGGCCAGGTAGGTACACGGCACTTCGCTCTGTGGGGCACTCCTCCCCTGCTCCCATAGGTGCCAGGCAATCGGGATGCTCGAAAAATATGGCCTCTTTGTCGCTGGTAAACTGTCTCTAGGACTCGGGAAAGCTCCACAGTCATGTGCAATGACAGGCAGTGGGCTAGCGGGTTCTCCTTCAAATTACACTGGGTGGGCACAGGGCCCCTCCCACAGTGAGGCATCCCTGAACCCCTCCATACTCATCAGACCAGTGGCTCTGACTCACAGAGAACTCACAGGAGTCCTGAGGACTCAAAGGGCATTAAATAAGCCCCCAAAGGCTTATGCCCAAGTAATTAGGGTGGGACCCAGGAGCAATTAGTGATGTCAACACTATGTTTACCCAGCTGTCTCCCAAGGGCTGCGGGGCTGCCAGGGCTCTGATAAGGCACCTCTCTCATGCACATGCAAACAGGCATGAGCTTCAGGCTCTGCTCTTACTCCCAGTTCTGGCCTCTACACACAGGGACAAAAGCAGGCTGAGTTCTTACCTGTTGGAAAGGGTTGGAGGCACGGGGCGAGCAGGCCAGGTAGTACTGCAGGATGTCTGCGGAGAGAGGTCAGGGCAGCTTAGTGGCTCTGGCAGCTGATGTGTCTACACGCATGCTTGTATGTGAGTGTATGTCTGTGTCATGCCCGCACGTATGTGCGCACATGTACATGCCCATGACCTCCAGGAAGGCTGGGCTGGCACACAGACCCTCTGCTTCAAGCCATGTCTCTGCTGTGTGCACCATCCTCTCTTGGAGGAAGTCTTGGCCTCTCTCTCCCTTTGGAGCAGCAGACAGGGCACAGAGGGTGGCAAAGCCTCCAAACATGTCAGCCCTGGGTAGTTCTCCAGAGGGAGCATCACACCTGGAAGGGACTAACTCTGGAGGGTGAGGGCTGTCTCACCCCCATTAAAGGAGGTATGGAGTCAGTGTCCAATGATGAGAGCTGGGGGTTCATCATAATCTAGCACTGAAGCCATGCGAGACCTGAGCCCAGCTGGAGCTGAGGGAGGTGCCCTGGAACCCAAATTCCTGTCACCCACTCTGCTCTCCGCACCCTAAGGGTGCCCTTCACTTCCATGTCAGAGGTCCCCTTCTTGGGGAATCTTTAGGTCTCAGCGCAGAACAGAGGCATGGGACATTAGCTGGAGGGCAGGGTCAGCCACATCCCAGGGTAACTCCTCACGCCAGCAGCCCTCGCCTTGGGGTCTGGGCTCCATCAAGCATATGCTGTAAAGTTCCAGAAAGCACCACACTTGGCTCTAGCTACCTGTAAATGGAATCATACTTGAAATAATCTTGTGAGCACTCTGGTCCTATGAGGAGTGGACAGTGGCCACAGGCAGGCCACACACTCACCTGACGCTGGGGCTATGTGTGTGTGTTTAAGTCCCAAGAGGTCTAAGCAGTGTGGAGCAGCTGATGGGACCAAGGCCAGTGGTAGGGACAACTATTACCAGCCGAGAGCAGGCCTGTCCCTGCCCCACTGGGGAGGAGACAATCCACCCTCCTGAGGTTCCTTGGGGGGAGAGGGGGGAGTGTATACGTCCACAAATCTAAGGGCCTACATGCCAGTGCTTTCCTGAGGAAGTGGGGCGGGGTGGGCAGTGCGTGTGAGGGCCGCATTTCAAAGGCGCCCAGTGCTCGTCCATCTCTTCTGTGTACTAGTACTAGGGAAACCAACGGGCTTCGCATTCTCCATTCTGTGCCCTGAACTAATGTACCACATTCTCCTGCCTCCCTCATGTCAGCATGTGTCACCTCACCCCAGATCTCTCAGCTCCCCAACCCAGTTCATGGTCCCTGCAACAGCTGCTCAAACTAGGGACCAAAGTCCCCAGTTCCTCTCTCCCTGACATCAACTTACTGGCAAGTCCACTGGCTCCCCTTCACCGCACCCCCCTTGTTCCACTGCTGTCTCCTCCTGCAGCCCTCTTTAACCTTCCCCCCAATCTCTCTAACAGCCCAAAGAAGATTTTAAGAGTAAATATATGTCCCTCTTCTGCTCCCCACCGCCAATGTACCCCTAGAATAAGGCCTGAATTCCTGGCTGAGACCTGGCCTGCAGGCCTCCCCACCTTTTCCTCTCCCAACTGGTTTTTTTTCTGCCTCTTGAACACACCAGGTTGGCCTCTGCCTCAGGGCTTTTGCCTTTCCTGGCTCAGTTTTAGCACCATCTCCTTGGCAAGCCACACTGACCGCCTGCTCTGAAGCAGCCCACTCTCTCTGTTGCTCCCCATCATGTCCTCCCCGAGTCCCAGTTGTCACCTGTCCTTCTCTCCAGGCCTCCCGCTTGTCGAAGGTGTTCTCAACTGCTCACTAGCTTCCTGATCTGGGAGGGCTCACGAGGTTGAGCTCATTTGGGTCTCCCCGGCCCAGCCAATGGGGCACAAGCTCAGATGCAGCCGCAGACTCACCCCCACTCAGCACCGAGTACTCCTCTACCATCCTGGTCACATAGGTGTCAGGATCCACGCAGAAGTCGCTGGAGCCCTAGGGTGGGTGCGGGCAAGGAAGATGGGGTAACCGAGCTAAGCCTTCCCAACCCCTCAGCTCTTGCGAGCCTAATTCCCCAGGGTCTGCTTTCAGCTCAGGAGGATGAATGTGGGGGAAGGGGACTGTAGGCCACAGGCCAAGTGCTCGTCCATTTCAGGACCTCAGTATCCCAGGGGGAGATGGAAGAAGAGAAATGTGGCTTCCTCAGCCTCCCACACCTGGTCCAGGAAATAGAAACTGCTCATCCCTTCTACCACTTACCACAGATGCAGCCAGCTCCAAGCCCAGGGCTCCCCAGCTGATGACCAGGGCCAGGACCCCCAGCAAGCAGACCCTGGGGGCAAAGACAGCGAGTCAGCCTCCTCCCCAGGCTGGTGGGGATTGCTACCCACCAATCTGCAAGCCAGAGGGTCAGTTCCCAGGACACACCTGGGGGTCCAGCCCACATAGGGGCTGCAGTTCCTCCAAATACATTCCCTTCCACTGGGGGTGGGGTGGAAACTCAAAGAGCTCAGAGTTGGGGAGCGGAGGGCAGATCTTGGCTTGGTTGGGAGGCCAGGTAGCTTCATGGGCCCCCAGGCCTATAGTTGCCAAGTTTTCTCCTGGCAGACAAGAGGTCTTGGCTTCCATTCAGCCCTACTGTGCTGAGACCACCAGGCAAGGATTTTGCCTGTGATGCTGACCCCTCCCTAGATGAGCCTGCCCTCATCTGCCTCCCTGCTGTTTCTCACAACCCCCTCATGTCTGAATGCCCCTGGCTCACCCAGTCCCCCTTCAGTGCCCCCTTCGCGGCCACTGCCGGCCCACTGGCTCTTCACTTACCCACAGCACTATCACCTTGGACTCATGGCATGTGACAGCCTGTGAAGGCCACACAGATTGGGTCTTGCATTTCACTGGTCCCTATGCACACCTGGCTCAGGTAGGAGTCAGGACACAGCTGTTTTAATTGCTCAGTGAGGAACAGTGACAAGACCTCACAGGTCCCCTATAGATGAGCTGTTTCCACATCTTCCCAAGAGGAAGGAAAGGACTGGGGCGAGACCGCCTACAGAGAGGAAAGAGGGACAAGAACCCCAGCCTGAACCTGGTCACTGGGAAGGTCTAGGTCGCAGGGTTACAATATGCACTACCCCCTGGGAGCACCACCACAAGAAACCAAGGATGGCTGGGGTGAGCATGCTTAGGATGCTGACCACAGCATGCAGGGCAAAGGAACAGAAGGAATGTCACAGCGGAGTCTCAGCACGGGAAGCTCCATCCTCTGACTGACTCTGTGACTGATGCACGACTGGGGAGCAGGGACGGGGAAGATTGACTGGGGAAGCAGAGCGGTGGGTACCTCATCAGATTCCTGTGCTTGAAGGGCCCAAACTCACCCGACCAGGATGCCCTTGGAGCTGCGAATGAGGCCAACCAGTACCAGCAGGCAGATGGCTACGTCAAGAAGTAGCAGGCCCAAGTAGCCCAGCCACCTGCAAGCACAGGGCAGGTATGGGTCATTCCCAGAAGAGGTGCTGGGCAGAACTCAAAGGGGTGGCCACGGGCAGTTCTTGTAAGGGGAACTCCTGACACACTGGCCGCTGGGGGTCTGGGGCCCTCTCTAGACCCACAGACCTCAGGCCCAGAGTGGAAAACGCTTAACCCAGTAAGGGCAAAGGGGGCCGCACCTGTACCAGTCATAGAGATCCACCTGCTCAGCCAGCACCTCCAGAGACACAGCCGAGTTCCTCCAAAACGGAATGGTAGCTGTGTAGCCCAGCAGCTTCTCCAACAGGCCCTGCAGCCGCTGGACCGCCCGCAGGGGCTCGGGGCGCGCAGCCAGCTGCCGCTCCAGGCTCTGCAGACTGGGTTCCGCTGTGCGGTTCAGAGCAGCCGCTGTGTCCCACACCTGCCGCCAGGACGGCGGGCAGCGTGAGCAGGGGCACGCTCCCGCAGGCGCTCTTCCCCAGCACACCCACCCTCGGCCCCTCCGCAGGTCCTCCTGAGCGCTGGGCTGACACAGACACGCAGACAGCCCTCCCCTCCCACCAGGCGGTCACTCACGCGGTCCTGGACCCCGGCTACTGTGCGGTTGGCGTGGCGGAGCGAGTAGGTAGCCCGATGGATGCCGTCACTGGTCTCCCCGTTGCCGTAGAAGCCCACCGCGATGCCGGCGCTGGACAGGGCGGGGCGGGTGAGGACGCAGCCCCCGGCCTCCGGAGTCGGGCGCCCCTCCCCAGTCCCGCCCCACCAGCCTCGTCCGGCGCCCGCACAATCGGTAAAGCAGAGGGCGTTGGGGAGCCGCGGCACGGGCGGGCAGCACAGGCCGCGGACAGTGGCCGCTGCCCCCTCACCGAGAGGAAAGGCTGGTGCTGGCCAGGCCCGGAGCGCTTTACGGGCGAGGACGCCGGACGCCAGCTGCCCCGAGCGCGGCCCGGAGACCAGTCTCGTCTCCCTGCTGGAGCTCCTTGGCTGGCCGAGGGCCACCCGCCCGGCCCGGGCCAGAGGCCGTGCAGTGGGGGCGCAGGTCAGGCTGTCCAGTGCCACTGTCCGCTTTCGCTTTCACGCCAGCTGCCCCCGGGCCCCCGGCGCCTCGTCCTGCTGCCTGCTCGGTCGCCGCGGCTC